TCCCTCTAGCCGTGGATATAATCCCAAGTTCAATTGTTATGAATATTTTGTGATTAACACCCCCATTTTTTTGTATATATTTCCTATGAGATTTATTAACATCATTTTTCTAACTAACCTTTTATTGACTCTCTTCACCCACTCACTATATCAATTTATTTTGATATCTGTCTAGAATTGGTGTCATATCCAATATCACTCTATTGTTCTTCCATATTACTATTCTTTTTCCCTCACGCACACTTCTATTCATTATCTCTCTCTCTTCCTTTTGAATCTCTCTTTACTCTCCTCCTCTTGATTTGTGTGGTGCATTGAAGGAGTGTGATTTGGAAACTACTTCACTACTTTAGGGTGCCACCGACAATTATACATCTCATCCAACAGCTGTACGACAATGCTGCATGTCAAGTAATCCACAACGGGAAACTTACGGAACCCTTCGAAGTGAGGACAGGAGTAAGACAAGCTGGCTGCCTACTATCGCCAACGATTTTCCTGATTGCAGTAAACTGGATAATGCGACAAACAGCGGTGGGCAATGAGGAAACAGGCATAAAAAGGAATCACACAAAAAAGAACTTGAAGGATCTGGACGTCGCCGATGATATATGTTTGATTTCCCACAAACTGGAAGATATGCAAGTGAAAAGCAACAAGTTGGCAGAAGAAGCATCCAGAGAAGATAGGACTTCAGGTGAACATCGAGAAAACAGAGGTGATGAAGATTCCTGGGCAACACCACCAACAGACAACGATCAGCATAAATGGGAGGAACCTGAAAGGAACAACCTCTTTCACCTGCCTACCTACCTGGGAAGCATCGTTTCAACTACAGGCGGACGGAACTGACGAGGATATCAGAGCGAGGATCGGGAAAGCAAGACAAGCTTTCACTACTCTCAAGTCTGTGTGAAGGTCAACAGCACTCAGCATGAAAAATAAGATCCGGATTTTCAACTCCAATGTGAAGTAAGTCAGTGCTAATTACTATACGGATCAGAGACTTGGTGCGTCATGAAGAGAATCTCAAACAAACTACAGATCTTCATCAACAGTTGTCTTCGCTCAATACTCAAGATCAGATGGCCAGAAAAGATCAGCAACAGGGATCTTTGGGAGCGAACCAACCCAGCAGGAACCGATTGTGAAACAAATAGGCAGGAAGAAATGGAGATGGATTGGCCATACTCTGAGGAAACCATCAAGTGACATCACTAGACAAGCCATTGCTCGAGTGGAACCCGAAAGGGAAGCAACGATTTGGTCGTCAGTGCAAAGGTGACTTGGAGGAGGTCATGTGAAGAGGAAATGAAAACGTGTGGGCAGACTTGGAGCCAGGTGAAGACTCTAACAGAGAACCGGACGCAATGGAGACGCATGGCTGAAGCCCTGTGTTCCTTTAGGAATTAAAGGATACAATAATATAATAATAATAATGATGATAATAATAATAATAATTGAAGGAGTGTAGCAACTCGAACTGCTGCACATCTGTGCAAAGCAGTTCTACGTTGAAACCAGTCAGTCAGTCAGTCATTCTGTTATGAAAAAATACCTTTCTAGCTAAAACACAGTGTACCTTCATTGATTAATCGCTTGACAGTAGTGACTGTTGACATACAACGTTAATTTGGGCTACCATAAAACACCTCCATCATTACACTGCACACAACTTTTCTTGAACAACTTCGTTTTAATCTATTAAAATATGATCTCTAAAGGTACAAACACTTTCATTGCCTAGGAAATAGAACTAATCACCTGCAGTCAGTCTCTAATCATTCAGTTATGTTCTTGGTTGTCAAAAATGCACCCCTGCATTTCTTTTTTTAATTGGATTTTAGCCATATGTCGTGTATTTTTGAAGGAGACACAGAAGAAATATCATAGGGGATTGGTTTGAGCTACAGGTCAGATAACGCTTTCCCATGTAATCTATTGTCGATTACTATTTTTTTTACTTAAAGATCGCTGAAAATTGTGGACATTATATGAATACTGTCTAGAATAAAGTTATTATTATTACTTCAAGTTTGAGCACGGATCGACATAAGTTAGAGGACCAGTGGAAAACCAACAGGAAGTGACTGGACAGCTGAAAAATAGGAAGGACATCGTCATTCTACCAGCCATTAAAGGAAGAACAACGATAGTCATGGACAAAGAATACACCAAGAAAGCTGAAGAACTACTCAAAGACGAGGATGTATATCAACCACTTTCAACAAATCCCAAACAAACATTGGACAAAGGACCTTAGACAAACTCACCAAAACTGGACAGATCACAAAGCAAGACCAATTGCGGATGAAATTCAGTGAACCAGTCAGTCCTACCTCGATTCTATGGCAGACCCAAAATACACAAGCCAAATATCCCATTACGACCAACTGTATCACTCCCGGTAACTCCAACATATAATTTATCCAAAGAACTATACAGAAAATTGAAACACCTAACGGATTCCTGCGATCACTCCATCAATTCTACTATCCAATTTCTAGAGAAAATCAGAGGCATTCAAATAGATGACCAAGAAATAATGGTGTCCTTCAATGTCACAGCATTATATACCTCAATCGGACAAAAACTAGCAAAAAAACCATGGAGCAATTACTTAGCAACGACGAACACCTCCCACAACAATCTAAAATGCAACACCCAAGCTAGATGGAATGCATAAACCTATGCCTAACAACCTACTCCCAATTCAACGGCCAAATATATGAACAAGTCAACGGAACACCCATGGCATCGCCAATATCAGGTTTGATTGCAGAAGCAGTGATGCAAAGGCTCGAAAACATAATCCTACCACACTCAAAATTTGGATACGTTACGTAGATGACACATTCGTAATAATCAAAAGAAACGAGTTGGATAAAACTCACACACTTAATAAACAACGTCTTCAACGACATCAAATTCACAAGAGAAGAGGAATCCGAGAACAAAATCCCATTTTTCAACGTCTTAGTCAAGCGAACAACCACGGGGGAATTAGAAACTCAAGTTTATAGAAAGTCAACTCACATAGACCAAATACTGAATTACAACACCAACAATTCAATAACACACAAAAGGAATTGTATACAAACACTATTCAAGAGGGCCAGGACTCATTGCAGCACTCTCACCTCAAGGAAAGTTGAACAAAGATATCTCATGGACGTCTTCCAAAAGAATGGATATCCACAGAATTGCATCAAAAGACATATACCCCTAAGCCAAACTACCAAATCAAATGCCCACAAGGAAAGCACAAAGAAAGTCGCCTTACCATATATAAAGGACATCGCAGAAATCACCGCAAAACTCTTCAAACCTTTAGCAATTGACGTCGCACACAAACCGACAAAATCACTTCACTCAGTTCTATGTCAACCAAAAGACTCAACAACGAAAGGAGATAAAGTCAACATCATCTACAAAATAAATTGTCACAACTGCGAAAAACAGTACATTGGCTAAAGTGGACGTCCCCTTGGTCTTCGTATCCACGAACATAAGCTAGTCGCCAAAAGACATGACATCCACTCTCTCATATCGTCTCACTACATACAGACAACCATGGACATTAACTCGACTGGGAGAACCAGCGTTCAAATATTAGACAGAGGAGAAACCAAGAATGCTAGAGAATTTTTAGAAGCTTGGTATTCCAGTGAATCATCAGTCAATAGACACGTTGAGATTGACAAAATTTATCAACCGATAAGAAAGAAACCTCACACACAAAGAGTCAAAGTTCAAGTCAAGGAAACAATCGGTTCCTATACAAGTAGCCTAGAGGGTATGAAAACACACAAAAATCATGTTCAACGTCACCAGGAGAGATAACTAATAAATTCGTGGAGAAATCTAAAAGCTCACTTCAAATTGAAGTATGCGCTGAAGATATTGTCTAATAGGGGTCAATGAAAGCTTCGCAAATTAACTATCCAGCTCAGAGAACACAACCACACCAAAAACACTGACTGGTGCCAGTTGCGCTAAAATCACCAATCACTGCTAAAACGTTTAAATTTATGAGCCATTATAAATCAGATCCCAACGGCTGAGTAGTTTACGAGCTTGGTTTGTAACTGCACGGTGCTAGGTTCGAACCCTAACGGGTACATACTGCCGATGAATGCCTGACTAGAATGAAACAGCTCATTTTCCAAGTGATATCAATCCGTGACCAAACTTGAAACAAGTTCAATCCCTACAAACACACTCTTGAAGACGGAGCTTACCACAGCAGTACACTTCTGACTAGTTAAGTTTGGTAAATACACATAACCAGCAGAACTGTGTATAACCTAAGTTAACGTTTCTGAGGACAAAACAAATACTGGCGAAATCACCGACTAGTTTCAATAAGCATACGACTCAGTTCGACTGGAGCCTAGTGATTGAAATGAAGCGCAATGTCTAAATAAAAGTTTTAGAATAGCTAACTGGAATATATATATATATATATATTCTGTAGTTTGGTTTGTAAAGGTTAGTTTTGTTTTTATGAGTTGATCACGGATTGATATCAGTTAGAGAACCATTGAAAACCAGTACTGGAGAGATATGCCGTGAATTGGCAGAAGTTAGAATTCATGGGCCATTGGATCGGATCCCAGTGGCTTAATGGTATACGAGCTCGCCTTGTAACCAGAAGGTCCTGGGTTCGAACCCCGGTGGGTGTGCACTGTTGAAGAGTCCCAAACTAGGACGAAACAGCTGTCCAGTACTCCCTGCAGGTTTTCCAATGGTTCTCTAACTGATATCAATCCGTGATCAACTCGGATATATATATATATATATATATATATATATATATATATAACGAGTTTGTTTTTATATACTGAGCTTGTTTAGATAAGACTATTTGTTTATCCAGCTGTTAGCCTGCTCCCACAGGCATAATATACATTACACAACCATTAATTAATACGAGATGTAAAAATCATAATAATTTATAATTATAGTTATCATATATAAAAAATGACGGTAGCGCTCACTTTAAAATTACGCGTTAAATGAATTGGCGTGTTATGGTTTATTAAATCGGGTAGATTGATACAGCTTGGACATTGTGTAAACAGTAGATCAACACATCTGTTGTTGTTTATGCAAGGAAAGCAGAGAGAGGGAGAAATAAAACAAAACAAAACAAAAAACGTTTAAAAAAAATCAATATTCAAGCCATTAAATGACGCTGTCAACGATAACAGCAGTTATATATTATATATACATCGGTAGATGACCGACCAGTGTGTATATTAAAACAAAGGACAGTAAATAAGTAGGCTATACAATACGTAACTTTTTTTCTCAAACCAGGAAGTATACTTTGTTTTACCAAATAGTAAACTTGACTAGTAATATTAGACATTTTAGCAACCGAAAAGCAAAAAAATCACTTGGTATCAAACGCCAAGTTGAATAATATACCGCTTAACTTGTGGTGGTGTGATGCAGACAATGTGTGCCAAACGGAATATTATTCTCACACAGTAAGAAACTCATTGTATTCGATGGCGTTAATGTCTGAATACTGTTCTCACAGTTCAATATTGCATTAGCAACAGAATACGATATATGTATATTTGAACATTCTGTTGCATGTCGTTTAATGTAAATCAAAATCATACGCTTAGTGATTGGTTGTTGTTGTTGTTGCTGTTTTATTCCTTCACTTTCCCAGTGGAACATGGGGGCTTCAAGCTAGAGGCTTAAAGTTTATGTAGCAGTGTTTACTTTTACAGGATGGGGTTGCTAGCCTCATCATGCCCAACCTTTCCTCTTTACCAGCTATTTTTTATTTCTGGCTTAGCAAGGTAAAGGAGTGCGTCGGTGGCCGGGGATCGAACTCTGGACCATGTGCATGGTCGACGAGCATCCTAACCGCTGTGCCACCAACGCACAAAAAACCTGGGAGTAATGGAAAACTGTTTTGTCCTAGTTTGGGACTCCTCATCAGTATACACCCACACCCACGGGTTCGGACCCAGGACCTTCTGGTTACAAGGCGAGCTCGTAGACCATTAAGCCACTGGGACCCTAGTGATTGGTTAAACAATATAAACTGTATAGATATAAATAGCTATTTGAACACTTGAAAATATGCTTTGGCTTCCGTGTCTTGCCTTCTGCTGTTACAAACTAACCAAACTGTGGTGTGCTATACACGATGCCATCTTTGGACTTTAAACTCGATCGATGAAAATTGAGTATCTGAGCTAATAATAATATTTACAGCTATACAAAATAGTACTAGGGAAACTCAAATACAGTACTAGATTCAGCCCGTTGAAGACAAAAACATTGGGTAGGCTATGAGATTTGCATTGAAAACTTTGTATACACTCTCTACACCTTAAAGGAAAGATAACTACATAACTTTATTTTTTTTGTAAGGTTTATCCGGATCTGAGTGAGGGAAACCTTTACAAAAAATTAGTAAATTTGAGCAAGCTTATTTCCACTAAACAATGAGTCGATGTCATGTATGCCTTTCGACTACAATGTGTCACTACAACAGATAGTTGCCCTACTTACTCTGGGGTTATACATTATAAGGACACGGCTACCGATCAGCACATTTTTCATCTTAACCTGTATAATAATAATAACAATAAGCTTGCTAAATGAATAGATCTGTTTCGACGATCACTCATCTCAACAAGTCTGATCAGTCACTAATTGTTAGTCATAACAAATCAGACTGAAAGGAAGATGAATTCAGTTCAAGTTGTAAACTGAAGAGAGAGCAAGCTCTGAAACTTTTCCACTTGTGAGACTGGATCGCGTGCATAAAACAGTCACGACAGTAGATGTCCAGTTTAAACACAGTAAGAGCAACAACAACAACAAAAGAAGAGACACAAACAGAAATAGATAGTGCGACTTCATGCCTTGCCTACACACACACACACACATCCCACATTCGACACGTATCTAGCTACTAAGACGCAGGGGTGGAGACAGAAATTTTGAGTGGCATTCGATTTTGAAAAGTCTACTAAATTATAATTTTACTGTCAATAACATGAATTTAGGTAAACGACAAACACCTTGTACTAATGAAGTCCAGCGATGATACATAACTGAAAGATTAGGCGTGTGATAAAAGAAATCTGTGAAAGGAATTAGAAAGAAGAAACTTACTACTTTGAACTACTGAAACTGTCGCTATTTAAGTAGCGAGGTGGGAATTGTGTCTTCTAAAGGAGACCATTATTATTATTATTATATATTATTGTTTCCTTTAATTCCTAGAGGAACATAGGGCTTCAGCCACACGTCGCCATTGCTTTCGGTTCTCTACCAACGTTTTCACCTGGCTCCAAGTCTGTCCACGTGCTTTCATCTCCTCTTCGCATCACCTCCTCCATGTCACCCTCACACTGACGACCAACTCGTCGCTTCCTGTTCGGGTTCCACTCGAGTGATGGTCTGGCATGTGATGTCACTTGGTGGTTTCCTCAGAGTATGGACAATCCACCTTCATTTCTTAATCCTTATTTGTTGCACAATCGGTTCCTGCTGGTTCACTCCCAGAGATCCCTGTTGCTGATCTTTTCTGGTCATTGAGCGAAGCCAGCTGTTGATGAAAGTCTGTAGTTTGTTTGAGGTGCTCTTTATGACGCGCAGTACAAGTCTCTGATCCGTATAGTAGCACTAACTGACTTCACATTGCAGTTGAAAATCCGGATCTTATCTTCGTTTTGATGCTGAGTAGGGCTGTTGACCTCCTGCACACACACTTGAGAGTAGTGAAAGCTTGTCTTGCTTTTCCGATTCTTGCTTTGGTATCTTCGTCAGTTCCGTTCGCTTGTAGTTGAAACGATGCTTCCCAGGTAGGTAAAAGAGGTTGTTTCTTTCAGGTTCCTCCTATTTATGCTGATCGTTGTCTGTTGTTGTTGGTGGTGTTGCCCAGGAATCTTCATCACCTCTGTTTTCTCTATGTTCACCTGAAGTGCCTCCTGTCTTCTCTGGATGTTTCTTCTGACAACTTGTTGCTTTCCACTTGCATATCTTCTAGTTTGTGAGAAATCAGACATATATCATCGGCGAAGTTCAGGTCCACCAGTTTCTTTTTTTGTGTTGGTCCATTTTATGTCTGTTTCCTCAATGCCCGCTGTCTGTCTGTCTATCGCATTATCCAGACTTATATTATACACTACCTTTATAGTTTTTATTTATTTCTGTCATTATAGATTTTATTTTCGACTTTAATTCTGTCATATTTCAAAAAAACACTGTTGACTCAAGACTTCACTAAGAAGAGAAAGTAAACTTAAACTGAACCGACCTCTTCGCTCCCCCCCCCCGTTATTTATTATCCAGGAAGAAAACATCAAACAGAAATCCATATCCAAGTAGATGGATGGAAACGAAAATTAAAGAAACAGCCTCTATCGATGAGAACCTACATATTTTGAAGCCATTCGTCTAGCAGACTCTAACATCCACACAAGTAGACTCAGACAAAACTTCATAAAATTAGTTATCAATAAACTTTACGCCTTCTAATCATCTTATTACTGATAAGATACTGAAGAAAAGATTTTTAAAAAAACAACAATAACAGCACAAAAGTTTATCAAATTGTCACGATGTTACGATTAAAATCCTTCCACTAATTAGGTTTTAATTTCTCGGGTAATTTAATATTTTATTATTTTGTAATTATATATTATTTGTAATAGTGATTGTAATTTGAATAATATATTAAATGCATTTAATGGTTGCCGACCAGCGATAAAATTCACACTCGAAATGGAGAACGAGTCAAGTATTTATTTGCTCGATGTGAACTGAACAAGGAGGACCGATGGAACTCTTAAGAGAGCGATTTATCGAAAGCTGTCATGAAAATGGTCAACTGACAAATTTCCACAGCTGGGTACCCATTGGTGGAAAACGAAACCTGATCCGGTCGCATTCCAATCGCATTCGGCGCATATGTGGCCCTGATACTGCGGAGAATGAGGAAAATCCTAATAGACAGTGAATTTCCACTGCGCTTTATAGACAAGAATATACATTCAAATCCTATGAAACGTGACTTGTCATCAATACCCGAGAAAATACTGTACATGAACTTGGAATTCAAAGGTGATTTAGGATATCACAGTCCCTGAAAGGGACATTCCTCGATGCATCTTTGAGAATAACCTTTACTAGTCGACTTAACCTGAAGGTCAAGATCCCGCTGTTGACCAACTCTGTTTGTTTATCAACTCACCTGCTCGTGTCTGTCTGTCTGTCTGGATTCAACATAGAACTTGGCACCGAAGTGCAGCAGTTCGAGTTGCCACGTTCCAAAGAGCACACAAAGGTAGACAAGAAAATGAGTGAAGAGAATCAATAGAGTTTTGACAAGTATAGGAGTGAAACCTGCTCGTGTGGAGCTAGGTATATCAGTCGTTCGACTCGAGTTTTGTCCAAGAGGGTGCAAGAACACTATCCTGCATGATCTCAAAGAGGTGGAAGTGCAGTAATAAGAAGTGCGATCATTGAACATCTGGTCGATAATGATCCCCTATCTATATAGCCTCCGCCTTTAAAGTCATCTACAAGGCAAAAGTAATTTACCGAAATCACTACGTACCCGACTCATCTGTATTGCTGAATCTTTGGCCATCGGAACAGACAAGCCAGATCTCCAACTTTCATGGTATTAATCCCTCTATGCTAAAGTATGGTAATCCCTAGTCGTATTTTGGCTCCATCAATTTTTTTCATTTTTGTCTATTCAGTTTGTATACTCTGCGTCTATTACGTCAACTGTTACTGTTACTATTCTCACTTTGAACTGTCCCGGTATTATTTCACTCGTTCCACTTGTCATTCTAAATCAATTCTGTTTTGCAACGTTCAATTCGATATTATCGAATTTTATTCGATTTGCCTACTAATCCTATAACTGCACACCCCTTCCAAGTTCTATCTATCCTATGAATTATTCCATAAATGACATTAATTGTTTCGCCATTTGACACTTGATATTTAACTATGGTTATAATCACAAACATTTTAGTTTTAATTGCATTTCATACTACTATTATTATTATTTTTTGCATTTGCACGTATGATTCAATTCCCTCACCGGATATAACTTCTTAAAATAACCTGTCTATATACGATTTAACAGCTTGATAATAAATTCGTTGGTGAAAAGAGTCTCTTCGCTGAATCACCACTTGTTTTGATTTTCTAAATTTAATATATAGCCGAATAAACCAACGTCAACAATATTAGACATTTAGAATGATTACTTTCAGACACTAAGAGTCCACATCCCCATGAATCTTTCCGATATATATGAGAGCTTTCTGTAAACGGCAATTTGCTACGATCTCTTTCTCACATCAGGTGGTATAATAAGGTAAGTAATGTTGACGTTGGGCGTAGAGTGTTGGGCAAAGAGGGAAAATCAATCGACGAGTCTATAAAGTCACATAGATTGAGATGGCTAGGTCACGTGCTGCGCATGCCTAACCATCGCCTCCCCCAACGGGCATTACTAGCTGATATACGTGCAGATTGGAAAAGAGTAAGTGGTGGCCAAACAAAAACATGGCATCAATCCATGAAATCCCTGACAGTTAAATTGAGTCAGGTAGGGAGATGCAGACTTCCGGGTTAGGGCCCTCGGGACTCTAAGAATCAATGGCTGGAGACAATAGGCGACATGGCTCAAAATCGTTGTCAATGGCTTAGGCAGATGTATTCAGTCTCTGTAATCTTTCATATTCCTTTCTACCATTACTCATTCTGTTTCCCTCTTATACTTGTCAAAACTCTATTGATTCGCTTCACTCATTTTCTTGTGCTATTTGGAACGTGGCAACTCGAACTGCTGCACTTCGGTGCCAAGTTCTATGTTGAATCCAGCCAGCCAAACGGCAATTTGTAGTGTAATTATTTTTGACAAGTGTATTGTATGTGTACTCAGTCCTGGGAACTTATATTCTCTATCAAAAATGAACAGTTGACAGTGATAGGAAGTGAAGTTTACTACAAGAAGAATTCCCTACAAAGATGAATTAAAAATATTCTTCTGTACTGTCACTCCCTGGATTTTGATGTTCTTAGATATCTATGCATGGCAGAAAGTGCCGCATTTACCCAAGTTCAAATGACTAGTAATATGACTGGTAATATTGTTGTAGAATATTTTTAAAAACAAAAAAGTAACAGTGACGGACATATTAAAATCGAGTTGGTATAATAAGCATTTAAACTTTGCGTCCATTTCGATTCTTTTATCCGACATTTTTGGATCATATATACTTAAAAATCCCATGTGGTGAATTCGACTGCATAGTTAACGAGCAAAGATGTGTATAAGTAAGTAAATATTCATTTAATTGGTGGATGGTGACTAGCAGCAGTGTAGTCCAGGATGCGCGTTTCGTCCTATTTGGGACTCGTCAGTTGGGTGGACGTGCATTCCCCCAGTGAGTGATGATGTTCCCACTGAGGCTCGAACCCAGTGCCCGTAATTGCAAACGCCAAAGCGTTATCCACTAGACCACTTTGGCCACAAGACCCACCTCTTTCTTGTGCAAAGGGTCATATTAATTATTTAATTGAATTTTAGATTTTCCCATCGACTGATTGGACCGAAGTGCTCGGATTCCACTGCTAGTCACCATCCACCAATTAACTTCTAATTACATGCCCAGACATCGTTGAAGCATCTGCACAAGAAGCCGACACGCAGCCTGAGACCGAGCACTTCGTTCAACCAATCAATCGACGAGAAAATCTAAAATTCAATTACATATTAATTTGTTGGAAAATGTTGCCTAAGTGGTTCAACTTTTTTAAAAAAAACAAAAAAAAGACAAACTGAGAGCAATTATTCACTAAACTTACTCAATTGAGTCGTTGTTAACAGCGATGTGCATAGGGAATAATTCAGCCTCACCAACCAGCGGATTACAACCAGCTTTTAACAATTCTTCTACACATTCCAGAGAATTAAGACGACAGGCAATGTGCAACGGTGATTCACCGTAGATGTTCAATGTATTGACATTTAAACCTTTGAGGTTTTCTAGGAGAAGCTGGAATATGAATTTTTTATTTGAAAAAAGAAAATTATTTAGATTTTGCTTTAGTAAAATAAATAAATATTTATAACTTAAGTTGATATTTAATAGTGAAAACCTCATCACCAACTAGACAAGATGAATTTATCGGCACTTACTTTCATAGGCAACGCTAAAACAGGATAACCGAAGTGTTTATTTCAGTGGGCAGTGAATTGGCTAATGGTGTAACAGAATGGTGATTCAGCAAAATTAAGTACGCCGAAAAAAGATTGTGTATTAAGTAAGAAGGTGCACTTACTTAAGAGGTTAAATAATTACATTTGGTTGTTCAAAGGGTTTGAAACCACCTGAGTATTGGTTTAAAATCAAGCACATATACGAAAACGCATTACAAATAAGTTGGTGCATATTAGCTGAAACGGCTGCATGGAAATTGAAAATAGAATACTACTTGAAATAACTAGTGAACTAAAACTGACTGACTGACTGGTTTCAACACAGAACTGCTTTGCACCGATGTGCAGCTGTCTGAGTCGCCACACTTCACTCAGCACACAAAGCAAGAGAAGAAAGTGAAAAGAAACGCAAAATACAGGCAGTAAACAGAGATATGAGGCAAAAAGAATAGTATTATCGAAGAACTCTATAGTTTTATTGGAAATTATAAGTCACAAGGAGTGGGTGCATCTACACCAGACACTTTGAACCATATCACCGATTGCCTGCAGCCATTGGTGTTTACCGTCCTGAGGACCCTAACCAGAAAGTCTACACCTTCCTACGTGGCTGGATTAAACTAACTGTTGTGGATTTCACTGACTGATGAGGTCATGTTTTGGTTTGACCACCACTGGCTGGCTCTTTTCCAACCTTCCCCTATGTCAGATAACATTGGCCATTGTCAAGTGAACTAAGATCAATCAGTCACTAAGCATACAGATATGCATATATGATGGAGAAGATTTGTAGCTCAGGTGGATGATTTTGATGTAGTTGTGTTCTCTGAACTGAATAGTTATCAAAAACAGATATGCATTGAGGGCGAATTAAAATAAAATAATAACAGTTATGAGTGACGAATAAACTAAAAAGACATCAGCGCAGTGCGACAACCTACACGTGATAGCCTGTTCGTGAATCTAATACTACTCAAACAGGGTCTGAAAATTGGAAGAAAGTGAACCAGTCCTTCCTTCCTTCTCTTCCCTCTTCTCTCTTTCTCCATGAATACAAGGCTTACTCATATTTATAAAATTTAAGAGATATTAAATATGCTTCATAATAACTTCCATGGTACTTCACATAGATATTCTCCTACAAGGTTACAAACTCATAGGTTTTAGATATTAAGAAGTTTCAAAAAAATCAGTCAATTTTTCAAGTCCATAGGAAAAAGAGATGCGAATACTCACGCCTTTCATGTTTGATGTCTACCCCAGGCAAATGAAGAGGAGATAAGTGAGTGACATGACAGTAGGTAAGCTTAACTAAATTCGAATACGAGAATAGAACTTGCGCACTGTGAGCAGAATTCCATTATCAGTAAAATTTATTTTAAGTCTCACAGTGTTACACAATAATATTTACTGATGACGTTTCGAGCACAATTTATTGCTTATGATCATTTGATATGACTATGATGACAGCATTGGTATGTATAGGTAATTTACTATTTTTCTCTTAAAGTCACTTGCAAGCAATTACTAATACCCAGCAGTTCAGTAAACAACTGGACTGAAAAATGGTGGAACTGACACCTTTAAGTCAACGAGTCACTGGTTTGACTGTTTTCCACTTACGGAGGCTTCAGTAGCCCGATAGTAACATGGACATCAGGTACTAAGGTACATTCATTGCTCAACGTTGTATTGGATTTGGATAAGTTACAAAACGAATTAAGTTGCTGCATTCATACATCGACATTTAAATGACACTAACAGTGAAAAGAAATAATTATATCAATAGAACAAACAAAGCCTATAGGGTCATCGTGAAAGACAGTCAACTTTGAGGTAATAAGCACTTCAAACACTTCAGTTTCGGTGACCAAGCAGCATCACAGACTTTATTTTCCCCAGCTGATTCCTCTAGCAAGGATCCAGTTGCATTCCTTGATGGTTAAATATCAAGACTAGCAGTATTTAAAAATCGAACACTCCACTATGTCTTTGTCCTCTAGTGATGATAACAGGTAAGTATCATAAAGAAATGGATATGGTAAACCCTCAAATAGAACAGGGAGCTGTGTATTATGGTTGCAGAGTACGAAGACGTCTTTACCAAGTGACTATATTATCTACCTACATAATATATACAAGTGAATATGTTTCACAGGTGAATACTCAGATAATCCCTTAGAAGCGACTATTTTAACTTACGCATAAAATTTTCTTGGAAGCGTGTTCAGCAGCCAAGTGGACCACAGTATTCCCATATCCATCGCTTTCAAATGCAGTAATATTGTCCAAAGTTACCAAAAAGCGAACAGTTTCTTCATCTCTTTCCTTTATAGCGATTCTTAATGGAGTTAGACCGGAGATAGGATCATATTCATTCAAAAGTCTAAAGCGTTAGACTCAATTTGTTTAATGAGTGAATAAGCTTACCTTCTAACAGGCTCACCGAGAAAGAGCTCGCGCCAGGAAATTGCTGCAGCTACGTGAGCAGCTCCCCAACCATAGTTGTTTCGAGAGTAAGTAGTTATTTTCTCCAAACAAGTACGATCGATGGTTAAACCCACGCTTATGCAGGCCAAATGCAGAGGGTCAAGGACCTCCATGAATCGTGAAAACATGGCAACACCTGCTTCCTCTTCACCTTGGAATCGGAATAAGCTATATTTTGAAGATCAATTACAAATTTAACAACGACAAATACCTGTAAGCATGTATATTTTCACCACTACTTGAGCTGCCGACCAGTCCGGGCAAATACACCATATCAAAATGGTTTGCCACTTTGTAAAAGTAATAAATCGATTTTTCTTGTAGTAAACGTTCACAGCTATATTTTGGAGATTACACAACACGTGACACAAACTCACTCTTGATATTCGGATTCATATTGACTTATGGTGTATGATATTATTTTATTAGGTGATATAGATGAAACTGCAGTTTTAACAAAATTACTGACATATTTTCCAAAAGAAGTCATGATCTCTGGTCCCCCATACGTATTTTGCTTTCCTGTCACTACATCAGACTACAACATTTTTCCACGTCTAATGCTAACAAAGGAAAACAAGAATAATGATATGAGACTTGCACACAAAAAGCTGGTTATCAGTCGCTAAAACATACTTTGGCAGTAGACATGGCTATGGATTGACATTTAAATGCTGTTATTTATATTACTGTATCCAACGCATATTTTATATACACGTAACACAGGCAGTGAAATTTCGTAAAGGTTGCTCCCAATTATGTATCACCACCTAGAGCATTCTGAGTGTCCGATTTCGTGAAATGCTGTTTGGTAGCCAACTAAGAGAAGATAAGTGTTACACTGGACGCTGTTGCTCGTGGTGTGTTCTTACCTCACAATCTCTTCTCAATATCGCAAAGGCCACTTATAAACACAACTGAATATGAAAAATCTAGCGACACCACCTGGTAGCTTATAATAAAGTGATGGTGGAACACTTGATAAGGAATATTAATTTCCAAGTATTTTTATCTCTGTCTATCCTGTTACTACGACTACAACACTTACACTAAGCATTCTTATAACTTCACCTTTAGTAGTGTTGCATGGCTTACTTATGACAAGCTTTTTTCATAATAGGTAAAACCGTGGACTTTGAAGGTGTAAAATTTTCAAGACACCCTATTTGCAATGAACAGTTTTGGAGACGCTGAAATACTACAAAATAAATTGAAGAAACCTTGTGCTGAAAAAAAGCCTGAGTGGTACTGACAATAATAACTACTCAAAATTCATACGAAATCTTCTCGTCGTTCATACAACGCTACGGGAGGAAATGTTGATGATAGCAATGCTTCAGTGAACATATATCTACCGTAAATTCCAACATCGATGTGGTCACTTCCAATCGAACAAAAAATTCACAGCCACTAAAATATTAGCTTTTGAAACTTTCAAAGTGTTCCATTCAATATAGAGATTTAAGTTGTCGGAGAGTATTACCAGCGGCCTCTTATAATATTATTTATAAAACTCAGTAGTATTTTGTACACAAAATTAGGTAGATAAAGGCAACATTAGGGTAAATTAAAATAAACAAAATAAATAAGCGTAACAGAATAACAAACCTAAACTAACTTTTGATGACAGCGCGAGTCAAGAGTTCAAGGTCTTTCGTTGGAATATAGGCGAGTAAAACAAAATTCACATGACTGATGCTTAATTTAATTAATAGATCTAAATATAGACAATATAATAAATATCAGAGTAAAGCATTGTTTCGTATATAACGTCAGTCCTAAGAGAAACATAATTCCTGTGGGATTTCGTCGCACAGACTTTAAACATTGCTCTACAGTGGAATCGTCTCTCCTACGTGCAGATGCCCTTGTGACATGTTTCAGTGTTGTCGTTGGTTACAAATTGCATATGCAGTACACTGATCTATGCTTCTCTGGCTGACTCATATAGCACTATGCGGTAAATCTAGAATGATCCAGGACGGTCAGAATATCTCATTCATCTGCAGGAAATTATTCTCGTTTCTCTCTCCCGTATGCCTAATACAATCAAAGTGCTCCAAGTTTGACAATGCAAACTGCGCTTTTTGCGTATAAATTCATTTTTATTTTCACGCGTCACTTCCCAGTTGACGAAGGCGTGTGTGTGACACCTACAAGCATTGATTCCTCAGCAAGTGCACAAACGTAGCCCTTACAGCATAAAAACGTTGCTGCAGACCTCTAGCGAATTGGCCGTGTAATAACAGATGCACTACTACTGAGTTCCGATTTAAAGAAGCTATAGTCATGTTCAGGAGGGAAGCACTAAAGCTTCTGGACTGCGAATATCCCCCGCCGCAGTAGAGGTGCTACCACTACTCAGGCACCAATAAAGCGGCTAGCGTCACTAACGAAACAGTATACATTCTCGATGCGTCGCTGTCATGAAGTCGGTGCCTCTCGACACAGGAAAGCATCAACCATAGCTGAGACCCCCGCGTCGTCCTCACTATACTCGATATGCCCCACTGACAAGTTAACAGAAGACTAACACCAATTCGCCTCCTGCTGTCATGAGAAAAAGGCGTAGCAGAGTTCATAATCCCGTAGTTAAGGCAGCCCCCAAACTTGTAGATCAGGCTCTATCCACGCAGCTAGATAGAAGGCAGACACAACCAACGCCAGTGGATGGCGAGACAAAGCTACCCTAAAAGCTTTAAAGTCAACGAAGAACGAAGAGGCACTTGAACCGTAGGGCAAGAAAGTCACGTCAAGCACACCTGATCTCTCCAACAGGTCGCTCATTCTCCCCACAGTAAGCATCACTGGCTTAGGATCCCAAGGCCAGGTTTATACATGACTTTAACCCAGTCAAACCTCTCTTGCTGCCAGCAACTGTATCGGGTGTGAATATACATAGCTTGTATAGAATCGGCATAAAGACTGACTCTACAGTAAAACAACCGGTACGCTTTCTTGAAGTCGTAATAAACCGTAAAACAGGCACGGATGCTATACTTTGCAACTCTCAAACCCCTAAACGATCATGTATATGTTTCTGAGCTGATATACGTCTAGCAGACAGTGTTAGAAGACTGCCAGCTGTTCTAGAATTGGGCGAACGGCACTAAGACAGCGAGAAAGGGTTTTCAAGTTGTAATATTTGAAAGTCTATTGGTCCTGAAACCTCTGTGGGTGACTCACGGAAGCACTGAACTGAGCTCACAGTTTTCTACTTAAATGCACACAGCCTGTTGATAAAATTGACCGAGCTGGGTAGTATGATATACCCAGGAAACCCGAATACAATTGTCATCACAGAGACATTGCTCACATCCGATGTCACTGATAACGAAGCTAACCTGCCAAATTTTGTGGTACATAGGGCTGACCGACTATGCCGCGAGGGGGTAGCAAAGTCGTCTACCTCAAATAGTCTCTACCGCGTGTAGCGCTGAGGCTCTCGTAGACGGAAGTGAAACGTGCAAACTTTCACGTTGCAGACTTCAATGCGTAGGTTAGGGAATTGACCTCATTACTATATGCTGCAATCCTGACTGCAGTGCAGACGACTTCTTAAAGGATAAGTTAGGCTCCTGGATATTGAACTGCCAAAGCCTCGTGGTCTTCGACTTTAAAATTCCGCAGATGACTGGAGGAGCCAAACAACTCCATCTTCAGACACCTCTTTTGTCTATGAGGTGCTGAAATCCAGTGCTTCTCTAGCTCGATTCCTAAATGTCGTGAGGACCACGCGCTATGACTCACAGCACTTACTGTTCTCCCACGGCGAGGATATGGACCTCGTATATCTTCCTCCTGCAGGAAGAAGTGACCACGCAGCAACAGCATCATTGGCCAGTACCCCAGCTCGACCAAGCGTTTGAAAGCGGATACGAATACGACCGTCGCGGCAGCCGACTCTGAGAACTGACGAATAAACCTAGAGTCCCGAGTAGAAACTGCATAGAACCAGTTTACACCAATTTATGCGCCAAGTGCCTGAGCCTTTCATCCCTCGGTCTGTCCCAAAGGGTCAGAAGCATTGCCCCCTTGGAAAAACCGAGAGACTCGTCAATAACTCGGATGTAAGCACAAATGCTGGAACCCGTTAACTGCGCTTGAGACTCCAGAGACCAGAAAGTTATACAACGCCGCTAGGAACAAAGCTATTGCAGAAATCCGAAAATTAAGGATAAAGTGCGAGATACATGTGACTCAAAATGCAATGGCACAACCTTAAAAAATTTCCTTGAACACGACATATACTGGGGCCCCAAACCTGGCTACTGACAACGATACAACCGAAGAGGATCAAGTAAAGACAGTAAAATGGTAGATTACTTCTCCAAAACTTTTAAAGAGGAGTTGTCACCTCTCCCAACAGCATCGGCTCTGGCCACATATGAGGGATACAGGATGTGACTGGAAGGGTGACTTGTTAACCACATCCTAAGAGTAGGATCAAGATAAAACCGTTCAAACTACAGGCTCATCATTCTATACAGCTGCCTTATAAATATACTGGAAACAATCATAAAGAAGGCTGTTGTGGCATATCTGGAACACAGCTTTCACAACATAGCATGGCCTTCCAGAAAATTTCTCGGACAGCAGCAGACTGGTCGACGTTCTCTTCATTGACTTCAGCAAACACTTCGGTAGATCGTCTCGCGAGAGACCGATTGGAAAATTGATAGTCGTGGGATCAGGGACAGCTTACTAAACTGGATCAGTGAATTCCCCTTAGGAAGGAGACGGAGCTTCGGGACTAACTCAACGGTTTCTTCCGGGACGGAAGTCTGTAGTGGAGTGCCACAAGGCACGACATATAGACATCTCTTATTTATTTACCAATGTGTTATTTGTGATCAGTGATTCCCCTGTGGTCATATACGCAGATCATTTGAAAATTTTAAGGGAGCTAGAGGGGGACAGTGATACGCTCACATTCCAAGGAGACCTCAACAGATTGTAAGAGTGGTCCAAAGAAAGGATGCTTTCGATCAACGTAGCGAAACGCGCAATTATTTGCATTGGTTGAATCAGTACAACAGCATAAACATTACCAAACCTTCGCCTTTCTTATACGTATTTTATGGACTTTGGCATTTGGATTCAACTTCTTCAGTATCCGTTCCCAGCATTTTCCAATATAGGAGGAGACAGTGATCATTATTCGTTTCTCCCCTATCTTTTTTACCACTATAAACTTGAACTAACCATTAGTACGAAGCACTATCAAATCTAATGCCTTTAAATTCTCTTTTCGTAGGTACTACACTGAAGCGCTGTATATGTGCAGTAATACTGCTTTTTACGTTTGTAATACTCGAACGGTGTTTTGAATTAACTAGAACCAACATTTGATAGGTATTCAGAATATTGTTAGCACGTACAATGATCAACGGAACAAATTCCATCATAAAATCTGTTTTTCATAGCAAAGTTGGTCCCTTGTGTCTGCTAATAGCAAAATAATGCTGTACTTACCGTCCACTCTGAAGTTTTATAAATTTTACACCCCTATTAATTGATTGGATGACAATGATGGTAAGCTCTGCATCATGTGTCTTACTGTATCACCTGTATATCGTTTTTCTTCTTACCTTCCGTTAACGCAGCCTTTCGTAATTCCCGCGTGAAGATGACTGACTGTAAGTATATTGAAGATTAAAATTTAGAGTTAGACCAATATCCTATAACTTATTCAATTAAAAGTAAAAATTACAAACTTCTTTTAAAGTCTTCAGTTTTTTTCTTTTTTTCCAACTTTTACGTGATGAAACAGTGTTCAATCTAAACTTGCACTTGTCAAATATGACTGTGCCTGTACAACATGTCAATTATAAAAATGCTTAATTTATGTGAACAAACTATTATTATCAGGTCCTACAAACTCGAAAGAATAACACTCCCATCATTTCAGACTCACTTGGACATAGGTTTCACAGTAAGTCACGACTTAAAAACTACAGACCACTGTCCCGCGCTGTCTGCACGTAGTTTCAGGTCCTTATGGGCTGTTCGCAGAGCCTTTACTGGAGATAAAAGAGTCATGTTCACCTTCTTATGTGCATCTCTGGTGGGCTTAAGACTGGAAAACTGTATGCAGGCAGCCAGTCTTTTTCACAAAGGGAACTAACTTAGTGTAGAAAGGGTTCAAAGGAAGGCAACACGTATGATTCTTGGCATGTCTAACTCATCACACGAGGAAAAACTAAACAGTTCAAGTGCTTTCTCTCTATCATGCATCAGACACCGAAGATTTAATTACAACTTTTAAAACTACATTCTTATGGAGTCGGTGTTACAGTGGTTAGGGATCTCGCTGACCATGCACATGGTCCGGGGTTCCATCCCCTACCGACGCACACCCGATATCTATGGTCGGCCTGCAAAATTTGGGCTACCGATATCACATGCTGAAAATTCCATACCTGTACCAAAAATACGGTGTGGAATCAAGCTGTAATCAAAAATAAAAATATCAAACTGTTAACCCCTGAAACCAACTTCCGGAAGAAGTGTTGTCAACTCTCTCAGCTGACTCATTTGGAAAGGGTTTGGACAAGCACAGAAATTTACTAGAAAAGGGTTAATATGGTCTTCAAGCCTTCTATCTTTACTTAGCAAATCTGAACCTGATATGAAGGTCTCTTGACTTA